ATATCAAGTAAAAACAAAGAAAAGGAAAGAAAAACACAACTCGGCTGAAAACAGCCTGCAGTGATATTGTCAAGAATCACAGTTTATAAATCAGACACAGGCACTACTAACAGAGAAAGCAAACGTATTTACATGTGTAGTATATCAAAAAAAAGAAGCCAGTTATTTAAAAGAGAAGCACAAAATGTGTACGTGTCTATCAACAAGGTGATAAGAGCAGCCTTGGGAATGCTGAACTGACATGTGCCAATGACACTGATTGTATTTGTCATTGTGTCATTTGTTTTCCTCCCACTTTTCCCTATAAAATTGACCTGCTGCTGTGCTTCATCATGTTCTGAGACAGTGGTAAGAGTAGAGAAGATCTTGATTTGTTGAAAAGAAAAATTAAACAATCTGTACATTAGTGAAAACCATGCAACCACAAAAATAGAAATGCACTTTGTTCTCTGAAACAATTCAACTTTGATCAGAGGTCAGTTAAAAAATTTGAACTTTTCACTTGGCTAGAGTCTAAAGCACTGAGGCAACTGTGTGATTTTCAGCGGACATTTACTGACATGAATAGCTTATTAACATTTTTATACCTCAATGATACCAAAAATCATGATTCTTGCTATTTAATCTATGCTTATGTTATGTCAACAGATTTTTGGTGTCTGTAATAAATGGAAATATGGCTTCTTTTTTTTAAATTGCAGTTTGACAATTACTTGTATTAAAAAGAAAATTCAGCCAATTCAGTCAATTCAAGCTAAAACCATTTAGTTTATGGCAAATACAGAAGTGTTTCAAAAAAAAGTGATGGGAGAGTGTCAGTCCTTTTTATAGCCGAGTCAAACGGTATAAAAACTGGTCACCATTCAGCTGCCTGGCTTCACTGTTTCACTGCAACACAATTGTTGGTTGAAATAACAAAGCATCTTCTGCTTCTTTGTCACGAATCAACATTATATGACATATATGACATTATTTGACTATCCTACAAAGATTGTTTCAACTATATTAAAGTCAAAAGACAAATCCCAGTCAGTCAGCGTGCATAGCGTCTCTTGAATTTGGCAAAAGTAAGTATTCCCAAACTTTTCACATTGGAGGAACAGTCCCCGCTGTCATTATGTTGTCAGCAGGGACTTTGTTGTTGTTGTTGTTATCATTCAGAATGGCATGGATTGAGGAGAGAAAAATTGTTGAATTTATCTCAATTTGCACACTGAGGATGAGAGACCAGTGGGTCCCACAGGATGACTGGCAAAAGAGGTTGAAGGTGTCGTGATTCACATCTCTGTGTCAGCCACGGGGGTCTGGGTGGCAGAGTGTCCATTGGTAGTGGGAGTAGCGTTGGTCCCATTTTCTGGAGGAGACTCTCCATTGACAGTGGGCTTATCAACTGGCTCCTGGGGCAGGGGTGCAACAGACACCAGTGTATTGGCCTGGTTCTCCTCATCAACCTGAAAAGACTCGGCCTAAGAGAGAGCACAGAACCAAGACTTCATTTCATAACTTATTCTGGATTAGGAGAGCTTTAACACAGGCCAGCTACATTTTAACATACAAGCCACATGGTGTGTAATTGAAAATCGATTGGTTTTTGTGGGAGTTGTTTAAATAAGCACATTCTCAGTTAATGAGTACTCCAGTCTTAGGGTGTGTGCTATTTCCTTGCAGTTTCCACACATACTTGCTTTATTATGTTTCTTGGCGAAAACAAAGTTTGAAAGTGAGATGGTTTTTACTCTGTCAGTGAGAAGTTTGTGGCCATGACTGAAAGCACAGCATCAACAAGCTGTTACACCAGCAATCACATGGATGTGCCACCATACGTAATGTACGTGATGTTCTTTAGACAAAAAATGAAACCATCTGTATCCCCCAGGCAAGAGGCTGAAGCAGAAACAAGAGAAAGCACCACCTTAGCTTGCTTACTCTATTAAGTCAGGAATTGACTGTAAGATAATAACACATGTGATCTCAGATCCATATGTACATTTTTTTTTCTGGAAAATTTACAGTCACTGTGTACTTTGGTTAGATCAGGTCAAAGGTTAATTTCAGCTATTTACTCTTAAAAAACATTAACACAAACCCAGGTAGGAAGGTCGGTATAACTGTTATAATTTACTTCATTGCTGCTTTTAAAACACAGCACCCACAGTGGCTATCATGTGAAAAGCAACTATTAAAAATCATCGATTTGGAGCAATAAATCTACCCACCAGTCGGACTCCTTTTGAGTTCTTGCGGTGCGTCTTGAGGTAATAACCAGCTACCAGCAGTGCAGCCAGCAACAGGCCAGTCAGCAGCAAGGAAACCAGTACCAACTTTGAGTTCTTTCCCCAGCGAGGAACAGCCTCCTTCACATCAGTCTGTGTGTACAAAGTAACATTAGTTGAGTGTTCAGTCATAATTACAGCACTTGTAGAAAACCAGAAAAAAGGTCACTGTAGAAACTGAAGTGGGCCCCATGAAGGAGTTATGTTTTTAATATCTATATTTTTTTACTTGGAGAAAAAGATTTTCATTATCCAGTGACAGTGCCTTGTGTAATGAGAGACTTTGGGGGAAAACAGCTCCAATCTTTCTGGCAATGTATGCATAGTTGCTGCAATATATCTCCTGGCTTCAAAGCAGTGTCAAAAAAGATGCCAGTAAGCAGATAGACAGCATAATGAAAAATGAAATGTGTCAGAAAGAGGGAAATTGCTTATAAGGTTGTTCAGTGTATGTTGGAACAGGGAGTAAACTGTAGAGTATGACAAATGCAGAGAAACAGATGGGTGTAACAGGCACACCCATAACCAAATATTGTTCCCTAGGTATTAGAAAAAAATGTTTTGCTGCTGACAAGTGGATTGTTTGTGGGGTTTGACACCAAGTGTCAGCCTGATGCCTTTGAAAAAGTCTCCAAACTCTTTTCGTATTTTCGTATTCGTATTTTTCCCATGAGTAGCTTCCTGTCGAGTTTGATTATGAGTCAAGTTTTAGTGGTTCTTTGGTGCCCTCGTGCTATTGCATAGGTTTGAATTTTTATCTATCCATAACAGATAAAGTGACATTATGACACAATGACAAAAACAAAAGGTAATTGGCACTGAAACTACATCCAAATTATACGACTATACTGACACTTGTGTGGAGTATTTCTGCAATATAGTGTACTCTAGGTGGGACTTTACCTTGTCTTTTATGTTGTCGTTGTTGAACTTGTTAGCCATGCCTGTAACATCATCTGTAAATACACAAATGTTGGTGTTTTTACTGTCACAAGGTAGACATAAACAGAGGGTGCTATATTGTTGGACAAGATCATTTTTGCTTTAAAAATTGTTTAAGGCAATAAAGAAGATGACATAAATGCAGATTTTTCAGGAATTATAACTCCTGCCAGCCGAAAACATAAAAAGCTTATCATAGGCTTCATCACTGAATATCAAATTTCAAACTGAGCTTATTAAAATATTGGTACTGACCTTCAACATATTTCCCAGACACAAGGATTTCATCTGAGTTGTTTTCCTGATAGATCTCTAGTTTACAGTCCTCACTACATAGCTCTTGTAGAACGCTTTGAATTTTCACTTTAGATTCCTCCTACAAAAAAGATAACAAATAAAAGGTAATTAGCACTGAAACAGTTTTCACATGTCAAAATCTAGAATAAACGTGAAATTCATTGCTAATACCAAATCATTAGCTCCCTTCAAAATCACACCACCAAACCTTCAGTATCACCTTTAATCTTTCTCTCATTCCCTAATCCCTTCACGCTCAGTTTCATTTCTCTTTGTCTTTAATCCAGTCAGGGCTATCACAATTCTGTGTGCTACCTTTTCATGTAATCTGATCCAAACAACAGAATCTACCACACCGTAGCAGCCCTTTATCTCAGTTCAAAAAGGAACAGATGGCAGGACACAGTAACAGACAGCCAGGGAATGTGCACGCTTATCTGATAATTCAATTTTTATTTCAGTTTCCCTGCAGTGGCACCAGAATGGTTCAGTTCCATAAATGAATGCACTGCACTAGATAAGCCTTTCAATTACATATTTAGCTGGATAGCCAAGACCTTATTTTGCAGGTCCATCAATGTTTTATATGCAGTGTCTCATATCAGGAACTTCGCATGCCATTACTGAAATACTTTACTCTTTAAATAACGCAAGGTTAAACGCCTATATACCCTACTCTGTTTCAGTCCCTCCCTGTGAGCAAGGTTTACTCTCTGATCTGAAGCACGGTTCATTTCAGATCTCGGTTTCATCCTGTAGCAGCATAAACTGTACTGCTCAGTTGTGATCAACTTTACATGAACCATTGTTGCTGTTTAATTTGCTCTAGATTAGAAAAAAAACAGAAATCCTTGGTAAATGTCTTTGACTGGTGGCACAAGAACCCCCGATGTTATTTTGCTGGTTACAGTATATTCTTCATTTTTAAAATGTCAAACAAGGCATTTGCTGCTCAGGCTACATGAGAGCTGTAGCTAACTGAAACCATATCTAGTGAGTTCAGACCTCCACATAGCTTTGTAGACCTCAAAGCTGTTATGCTTAGACACTGGAGAATGTATATTTCTAAACACAAACACACCCACACACACCCACAGTACTGCCTGAGGTCTCTTTACATTATACATTTTACAGTAGCGGTGAGCTTCCCATCATGCTCCCACTCCCTCTGCACTCATAGCACCATACATCCCCTGGATTACATACAGCAGAAATATCTTTGGACATTTCCTGGGCTTCACTAAGATGTAATAGTTACTGCCTTCAAAATGAGGAAAAATTTCCTGCTGAGCTCATGTTCGCCTGATTGCCGGTGGAAATGGCAACTAAACCAATCCAGGGAATATTTTTCTCTCTAGTGCAGTTGGTTGTTTTGTGAGTGTGTTGTTTGTGTGAGCACAGGATGAAATGTATGCAGGAATATTTTAAGATTCTTTGTTTTACTCTCGGCTATTTCCTTCTTATTACCTGTATTATTTTGTATATTTTTCTTCCTGCTACGTCTTCCAAACATTTTCATTATACACCGAATATGAGAATAAGAAACAGAACTTACACAATTGGAGGATGCCTTGAGTTTCAGACTGACAGCACTTCTGTCTTCGATAACCTCTTTGCTCACGCATCTAACATCATCCTTTGGCACCGGCTGTAAAAAGAGAGAAACCAAAACTCTTAACCTTGATGTACCCTTCTTACCATTAGCTGCAGCATGGCACCAGCCCAATGTAGCCAGTTCCTCTAACCAGTGTTTATACACAGAATTCGATTTAGTGTTGAATTCCTTTGTTGCCCTTTCTAATAATTGTATCATAATTTGATCCTATGTAAAACAATCATCTTAATTCCTATGGCACATTCAAAAACACAATATCTGTAAGTTATTTAAATTAAATCCACTAAACATGAAACAATATGAAACACATAAACAATGGAAATTTACAAAATGGAATAGAATTAAATTTAACTTCACACAATGCAAGAAAGAATTCAATATCTTACGCATGTTGGGTGTCCTGTCATCTCTCTGTTTTTAGGTTAATGTCATTCAAGTGCCTAAAAAGTGAAGTATTAATGCGCTCCTCTGCTAAGCTACTTTTTAAGCTTCTTAAAAACATCCTTTTTTAATGATTAAACTGTTGTTGATTTTCTATCATTTGCTGATTTCCCTTACACCGAGTCCAAATAACATTATGTCTTAATTGCAAACATGTTTGATGCTCCCAGAACAAGGAAAAAAGAATCTAAGTCACACTTTTAGGATTGAGCTCAAATATTCAGAGATGACAATTTGTATCAGTTTTTGCTGCAGGGATGACATTTTTGAGTTGATGAACAAATGCAAAGGAAATGTATTTTGTATGAAATCCATCCTTATTTTCTTATGCAAAATCAGCTACCACTAATCCTTTTTCCACATCAGGAATCGTTTGCAAATAACGTCACGCCTCAGTATAATTTGCAACATTTGAAAATTTGATGTAAAACCAGGTGTCCTTCAATGTTCTATGCTTTTGCAGCTATATGTTATTCTAATGTGAGTATTTAAAGTAGACGTCTTCAAATAAGAAGTAAAATGATTTGTTTTGTCCTTTTTTTTTGTTTTAAATCACATTTACTTGTTTCTATTCAACAACATGCTTTTCTCGGTCTACTCTTCCAGATAAACTTCAAACTAGTAACATTGCGTTATGTTATGACAGCCTGTGCAGTCTTACCTTTGGTTTATTGTTAGGTCCGTCACCTCTTGAAGGTGCTGGAGTATCTGATTCTAGAATTTCCGTGTGTACCACAAATTCTGTTGCACCAAATGCCTTCTGTGTAGCTTCAGTTTGACTGTAATCATTGTCTCCCGGCTTCTGTGTAGTTGTAGCTGCTGTAGACGCTTGAGTTCCTTGTTCATCAGTAGGATATACCAACTTTTGACCTTGTGAATCATCATTTGCTGAAAATATAATTCAGTTGACATGGTTAATATGGTAAATAGTCATACAATACACACAGTTTCGATTCCAGGCGTTTGCGTAAAAAAAGGTGGCAATTTACTTATTATTAAGTATTGCAGTTTGGTTTGAAGTGTGTGTAGACAAATGAGTGGGCTATGGTTTTAGAAAATTGCGTGAGGTTATATGCAGTTCATTCTGAAAAATGATTATATTATTTCAGCTACAGTAATCCATTCAGCCCAGGGGCTTAGGTACACTTTAAATGAACTCTATTAAGTATGTGTCTGTTCATAGGGACACTTTGCTGCCCTGAGTTTACAGGTCTAAGATTTTACATTTGTTCTGATAATACCTGTATTCATATAAGAATTGTCAGACAACTTGGTATTTTTTTGCGTAGATTGTGACTCAAATAAAGTACTCTGTTTTTTCTTCTCATAAGTGAGTCCATTTGTCACACACACAATTAAATCTGTACAACAAACCTCAATAAAAGGTATTATTATTATTATTATGTAATGTATAGTGTTTCTTACCAGGAAATTGTGATGGCTTTTGGACCATGTCTCCACGTACTATCGACGATCCCACAGCCGCCGCTGTTTCTTGTTTCACAGGTTCGTCTGTCTGCGCCATGACTCCTGCTGTTAAATCAGAATGTATGTTAAGTATAGGAAAGAATCTTTCAAGGGTTTGTTTTGCATTCAGTTACACAGAAGAAACATGACTTATTGAGTCAGTTGTCCATCATTTTAATTTACTTATGCAGCTGTGATAAGAAAGTAGGTCGGAGCTGTTACCTCTGGTGGCAAATTTAGCCATTGGAGATAACAGCTTGTAGCATGGATGGAGAATGGTTTTTAAAAGGGTGCTAGCTTAATGTCAGTTATTATCTTAATGCCTGGACTCGATGAGAGCTCTTCAGTGTTCTCACAGTATTATTTCTTCATGTCCCTCGAGGCCTCTGGAGTGATGGAAGATTAGGTAATAGATCGTAGTGCAGTAAATAACTAAAGTCTCAGATCCACGGATCACATCACAAAGTCATTTACTCTGAAATACAATCTTTTTCGCTTCAAGGTTTTAAAAAAGATCCTACGTTTGCAGTCACTTATTTTTGCTTAGACACAAATGGAATGTACAAAATAGTTTCCTGAACTGTATTAATTTGAGAGGAATGGGTTTCTATCAACCTATTAAATGCCCTGATTGAATGTGCTGCTGAAAGACACCAGGCAGTGATGCCACAGCTTTTTCCAAATTATAGAATTATGTAATAGGTTACGGCACAGTTGTTCATTTTTCAGGAGACGTGTGACTTTAGGAAAAACATCTTTGATTAATTTCAAAACCTGTAATAACCTGGATTGCTCTAAAGACACATTTGATTTTTGTGTTCGTTTGCTGCTATGCTGCTGCACTCTGCAGTCACTGACTCAAGCTCTTTATTGTGTTTTTGTTAGGGATAGGATCTAAAAGTCCATACAGGGTACGCAGTGTTCATTCTATTTTACCCAGCTCTCCCTCTCTGTCTAACAACAACAGCATTACCTCACTCTCAAAACATTCCCATAATACCGTTCTTCTGCAGATCTCATTACTTCTACACTCTTACTAAGTCATTCCTTATTGTCCCACATTAAGTTTGTGATTGATTTCAGGTTTCAGGTTTGCAGTTGCTCTGTACTGCCCCCTCTTGACCTACATTGACTTCATTTTTGTTTGTGCATACTGTATACAGCTGTTACACATTACGTAGATGAACATTAGAATTCTGTGTAAATTTAAGCTGACATTTTACAGCAAACAAAAATTATAAATGGTATATTTAATGCTTACCCATCAGTTAAATTCCTAGTATGGACATATATTCATATTGTAGTTTTCTATTCTTATATAACTCACAGCACCTTACACTACAAGGCACTTTCAACTTTTACATAAATAGTCATACAGATTTTACTTTCTGTTCAGGAAGCCAGAGTAGGAAACTACTTTTGTACTTGGATACTTTGGCATGGAGAGCATACAAACTCTCTCCACAGACAATATTTAACAATAGAGAGTCACTAGAAAAAGTTGCATTTCCTGCGAAAATGCAGTGTAGTGGAATCTGCTGTAAACAGCTGAAGAAGCAGAACTTTCTGCTGAAAAGAGGTGAAGAAACTGAAATTTCTGCTGAAAAGAGGTGAAGAAGCGGAATTTGTGCTGAAAAGTGGTGAAAAAAAACTTACTGCATTCACACAATTAACTATTTAAAAATCACTGGCATCTTTGTGCCATGCTGTTTTCTAATACTTAGGACCCATTACCAAATGCTGTACTTCCTCCTGGGCTTTTGCAGCAGCAACCTTCAGTTGCTCTTTGTTTGGGAGTCTCGCTCCCCTCCACTTTTTCTTTGATGAATGAAAAACATCTTCTTTTGGGCTGAGATCAGGTGACTTATTTGACCATTGAAGAATATCTCTTTTCATTGCCTCGAGAAACTCTTGCTTTGCTTTTGCTGTCATTTTGGCTCGTCATCCATTTACACTGTGAAATGCTGCCTGATCAGTTTTGCAGGATTTGGCTGAATCTGAGCAGAGTGTACATCCCTGTACACTCGATCAGCAGTCACATCATCAGTAATCATTTTATTAGCACAGTTCCACATGCCCGTGCTATAACATTGCCTCCACCGTGTTTGATAAATGATGTGGTAATCTTCGGATTACATGCTGTTCCTTACCCTCTCAATACTTTTCTCTTCCCATCATTTCTGGTAAAAGTTGATCTTGGTTTTTCAGAACTGTGCAGTCTCTTTTAAATTTAGACAAATTCAAATCTTGCCTTCATATTTCTGACATGTATCCTTCTCCAAATACTTATAAACCTAATTGTAGTTTAGACTAAATATTGTTGGAACATTTGAATAACCTACACAAGATGTGATTTATTATTTATTTTATTTTCACTATTTTTCTCACATTCTAATTTTTATTGGTTGTTGTGTCATAACTCATCTTTCTTTTCAGGTTGCTTCAGCTTTTCTTGGAGTCATCTCTCTGTCACAAGCTGGGGTCTTCATACATGGGACACATGTGTTTACACACTGGTGACACTGTGACACATTTCCACCAACTTCATAACCCATTGTGACACGCAGGTGCCACAAGTACAGTGTAAACATTGTGTGTGCTTATAGCTAACAGGTGGGATGGTAATCTCTAAGGAGTTCCTTTGGCATGATTAGTGTCAGCAACTGTCTATTGCAGCTGTCATGTGAGATCTGTTTTGCACTTTGTCATTGTTTTTAATTGCTTTAGAAAATACATAACGGTCAGTGATTTTTTTCTGCATCTACATAAAAATTAACAGTAAATTTATCATATGAAAGTTGCAAATATGAATCCTCTGTTTGACTTCACATGCACACACTCTGTATTTCTAGTTTACTTTCAGAGCAGGGACCATCTTCCCTTGTTAAACCTGTCTTTGAGATCCTTTTCCAGCCTGCAGCCTACAGCTGCCCTCCCTCCAGTCCCTCCATGTCTGGGTGGTCTGTCTGTTTATTTTAATGGAAAGGAGGAGGTTTAGTATGGGTGAGATGGTAAGGCATAAATTAGGTTTTCTCATACAAACGTGACATACAGGCTAAAGCTGAAATGTGTTGTTTCAGCTCTGAGGTCATTTTCTGTACTGCATTGACAATTAAAACCCAGTCAATTGTGTTGTAAAACAAAAGTCTAAAGATGTACACTGTGGCTGATTGTTATGTTTAGTCCTCAGTAACAGTCTGGCCTTTGAAGCAGACTCTGCTGGACGCTGGGGAGATGTTGTGGTGAATGAAAATGATAACATTAGCAATATTTTAACATATTTGCTGGATAAAATTCAACTATGATAATGAAGCAAGACCATCTCAAGCACATGTTTATAATTGGCTGCAACACTTTTATAAAGCAAAACATGCGCGTTTAGCTTGAGGCGAAATAACACAGGGCCTTCTGCAACTCTGCCAACATTGCCAGTAAATCCTGTCCAGCTCTCTGACCAGCCATCACTCATTACACGCAAACAAGTTTTCCTGACAGACCAGAAACCAGATGGAATGAAACCTCTGCAATATAATTACCTCTTATGATCAACATTTACAAAAACATTTGGATCTGAATTTGATCGCATTGTTTTTACCTAACAGTGCTGCTTTTTTGGTAGATTCTTTTTACACTTGCCGTCTGCTTTGGTTATTGGTTTAGAGGCAAGTCTGTTATTTAAAGGTAGATTGTAGCCTTGGCCTTTGTGCTGTAATCGATACAGTGGTGTTATATCCGTATTTCCTCCGTGAGGTTAACAGATTTTCTAACAGCATGACCTTTGAACTCACCACCACCTCACCTCTCTTTACCTTTCACACATTCATTCAAACTACAACTAAATGGGACTTTTAACTGGGTTTACTGAATTCTTATGGTATGGTATGTTTTTTGTCTTTCTGTGTTTAATGTCTAGAGAGGTCAAGATATCAGTCATCAGCCGTGGGTCTAGCTATCACTGCACAAACAAGGCAAATGTAACTGTTGTAATAAACTTAGATTCCATATGTTATTTAGCGTAGGCCCTGACTTCATTGCCCTCTTAAAGATTTTCCCACCAGATTGCTCTGAGTAAAGTCTGCAGTCTGGATATGCTAACGCACACCCCCCATCCTTTGGGACTCTGGATGAAGGAATGTGGCAGGCTTTGGAAGGAGACGAGCCTTCGGTTCCACGCCCTGCTCCCTCCCAACCCTCTGTCTCTCTTCACCCTCTCCCAGTCACGCACAGCTAATCCCAGGCATCCAGCGAGATGAGATTTAACTTCAACCTTCACACCTCCCACAGCAAAGCATTGCGTAAAGCAGTTTAATTTCTTTCACGATGTTCCAGAAAGTTTGCAAAGATTGCGTCATGGTGTACTGTACATAGGGTGACCAGATGTGTGACCCAAAGACTTTTTTCCCCCTCTTTCCTCCCACATTGTGAGACTGGGTCCCGCATTTTGATTGTTTCTAGTTAAGTCAAGGGTCAAAAAGGGACGCACTGATTAAGGCATGTTATTGGTACTAAAATTCCTAAATGGTCACAAGCAGACAAAAGAAATGTAACAAATGTTGCAACAGAAAAAAGGGAATAATGAAATAATACAAATAATATTGAATATGACTATAAAAAATGTATTTTAATTTTCTTTTTATTGTACTTATTTTACGAGGGAGCTGCAAACACTTTGATTTGGCAGATTTTTTTTTCATTGATGACCTTCCTGATGCATCGCTCAAGGGATCTGTTCTTCTTTATTGACAGGTTTTCATGTAAATTTACAAAATGCACCCATGTAACTGCAACCACTCTGCATGCTTCACTGTATGTATATGTGAAGCATGAGCCAGCTGTTGGATGCTTTCAGTGATCTAGCCTTACAAGCCTTTGGCCTCCTGTCCCACCCTGGCTTCCATAAAGTCCTGTGATACATGATCACGAGGGGAGAAAATATAGCATTGTGTGCCCGTGACCTCTGGCCTCGGCCTGCTTCTACTGATGAGAACCCTGTAACGTGTAATGGGGCTTAGTGAGGTGATAATGGTCTACATACATCAGTTAACCACCATGTTAAAGTCCCAGTGACCGAAGCCCCACTAGCCCCCGCTGCCACAAAACATTTCAATAGCTTTAATTCACAGTTTATTTGTTTTTTATGGGAAACCAAAAAAATATGTGTGTATATATATGTATAGAAATGTGTTGTTTTTGATGCTAAACGCCAAATCTCTCAACACACACACTGTAAACACTCTCAAAAATCATGATCATACTATATATACTTGAAATAGTCTCTTGTCAGCAGGACAGGGATGTCTTGTGCAGTGGTGAGTGAATGGAAGCTGTGGAACAGATTAGCAGGATAGATCCATAATGAATGCCATAACATCCCACATGCTGTTTGATCAGCACTGCATCAACAGCATGCAATGTATAAACATATAAATTAGTTGCAAAACCAAAATCTTTTATGGAGTAATATTCAAAAAAGACTTTAAAAACAAAATTCTGCAGGCATTCTTCAATTCTAAACATATTTGTATCCCTGCAGTATAGTATAAAAGAATCCCTAAAATAATTTCTTTTTAAAATAATTAATGCCCAAACATGGAAGAAAGCTTATTTTACGGTCATTAAGTGGAACTTGCCTTCATCTGAGTCTATCTCGATTTCAGGCAGGATTACAGAATGACAAAAGCAGCATTCATTGATTTATTCATAGTGTTGTTTTCTTAAGGAATGTTTTCATAATTTAGTATCAGAGTTTGTTAAGCATACACTATGGAATGTGACATTGGAGCAGAGTCCCGTAGGGTTAAACATGCTCTGCAACTCTACCCTCTTTGAAACAACAGTCTGTTGACCCCTACTATCTTGACCCTCCCCACCCCCTACTGCACCCTCTCTGCACCCCCTACCCTGTCATTTCTGTCACGCCAATTAATAGCAGAAGCCAGGCCCTTCTTCTCTCATGGCAGCAAACCAACTGGATCTTATGGTTTCAATCAGGCCAGTGAAGCAGAATCTACCTCACCCAATGCTGCCCAGCTGTAACATTCACCCAGCCCAACCCTGAAGCCACTGCAGCTTCTTATCAAGAGTGTGATGCCTGTTTCTAGGGACCACAATCAGGAAACATGACATCTGTTTTCAATTGCAAGCAATATATCACTCCCCAACCCCTCTCACAGACTCACACACCCACAGTCACTCTCAGTTGCCCGCTAAAGTTTCACTGCCTAGTGCGTTTATGAAATGAGCCTGTCTGGTTTGAGTGTGTGCAGGTAGATCCTGTTACAGTCAAAGCTGAGGATCAGTTGATAAAAGGCTTTACGTGGATTTTGTCCAGAACAAATTTAAGATTATACCTGTTGAAAATCGACGGGAATTATCATAGCTAGCACACGTTTCTGTGTGGTACTGAATAACAATCATCTTAATGCATCAAGAAGTTGAACTAACTGCACTTAGTCAATGCCCACAGATTCATTCTCTGTATCTGAAACACTGACGTTATAAACCTGGGCACTGTAGGGGGAAAAAAATCCCACTGCCAGGGCCAGATGGATGAGGTACTCCTCCACACTTCCTTGTAAACTTTTAGTTTTACAGCAAAAAAGTCAACTGGAGACTAATAAACACAGATGCTTACAGCAACATTTCATAACACTTTCATTAATCTATATTCATATAATTAACATCAGCTTTCCCAGCCATAACATGGACACTTATCACTTACACATACTCAGATATGGTGTGACGTTGAACTAGAATTCTTGCTTAATTAATATTAACCTTGGTCATTTATAGGAATTTCCTTGCTTGACTAATTATCAGTATTTCAGTTGTACCACAACATGTATAATGAATATCTTGAAGTTGAATCTTAAAGTCTTCTCTTTTTAATGCACTCCAATAAAAGTAACAGTTACAATGTTAATATTTATTAACTCCAAGGATAACACAATGAACTCATTCCATCCATTTTCTTAATCAGTTATGCACCTCAGGGTTATGGGGAGCTGGAGACAATCTCAGCTGTCATTCTGTGAGAGGCCAGTGTACCTTGGACAGTTGGCTAGCCTATTGTTATCACAGAGAAATTACAAATCACTTACACTCACATTCACATCCATAGCCAATTTAAAATCAGCAGTTAACCTGTGAACTCTGGGAAAAAGTTGGGACCCCACCCTCAGTTTCACTCATAATGAGAGAACACCAGACATACAGGCATGGGGAAACATGAAAGTGCCACAAAGAAAGGCCCCAGCCTTGATTTAAACCCAGGACCTTCTGGCTGTGAAGAAAATAGAGTATGTACTTGAAATATATTCGTAGTTTGTATATGCAGTGATAATTTTCCTCAGTCCTTGCTTCTCTGGCACTCTCTTTTATGTAATTTGTAGATCAGAGCAAATGCTTGGACCTCCTGGTTGTTTTTATAAAGCCGCATTTTCGGCTATACCATGTGAATGTATATTCACTGTTATTACACACACAGTAAACCCAGAAGTACAAAGGCTGGAAACACTTCAAAGCCAACACTGCTGAGAGGACAGTGGAAAACAGTCTGCTCTTATTAGTAATGGATAAAGGAAAACACAATGCCAAGCAAACGAGAATGGTATATATGTTAAGTGCGTGTATGTAGTGTGTGTTTGTGTGTGTGTATCAGCATGTCTACTTGTCACCGCTGGCTCACTTGACACTGAGGTTTGACTTGAGATATTCTGTGCTGTGTTTCTAAAAATGAAATGAACAATCTGTTGCTGACATTTTTCTAATTCTGTTTGCTACATCTGGGACTTTAGTGATTCTTCAAATCAGTTCAAAATGAAGTCAACTTAAACTGTTTCATGAAAAATGAACTCATTGTCTGGGTAACATGCTTGTTCACAACATCTGTATGTCTACTCTCATTTCATCAGAGTTATATAGTAAACCCATCTTAATTTTATATATAGATAACTGCAATGCTCACATCTCCTTGGTTGGAAAGGCAATTCAAGAATAGGGATTGTTGCCTACGTTTGTAAACTTGATTCTGTGGTTGAAATATGCTTAAGCTTAAGTGGTCTGTTTTTCATTTGTACTATAAAATCTGTTATCTTCTTTATTGCTATTCATCTTTATTTGGCATGCCCATTTGGCCCAGATACAGTGTCAGATGCTTTGAATTAGCAGTTCTCATCAGAACACTCTTTTTCTTATCCAACTGGAGAATAAGAGTTTATATCCCTCCAGATCTGAATCGATAGCCCACTGTTGGTTGAAACTATATGGGTGCAGTCTTATTTTGCAAAGCCGATGCAGCTGCCTCCCTTTGCTGATGACCTCAGTCCCATAAGTTCTACATGCCATAAACGGGACATGAGGTTTGAATTAAGTCCCCCAGTGTGTGATTCATTTGCAGCCACAACAGAGGGCACTCAAGATGATAGTAAAGCATGAGCCAAAGAGCTTGAACGAGAGCTGTTTTTGTTGTTTTGAACTTCCCTATGCCACTATTGAATCTTAATATACATTTTCTTCTGCGCATATCCTATCTTTTGTTTTTGTCTTTTTCTTTTCCTGTCACCAAATGTCTGTTTACTGGTATAAAGCTACAGATCGGAATTCTATTCAATACTGGTTTTAAATGAATTTAAAGCATTTGCCACATTTAAATTAAGCTATTGTAGGAACTAAACTTTAGAATAAGTCCTGCAGTGTGAAAAAATTTGTCACACAAACATGAGTTCCAACTGTCTGTGGAAATTGAACATCCTGATATATCCCCGATGGCTCCCCAAATCTGTTGCTACTTCACCACAGCCTTTTTTGAAATGCACATTAACATGCAAACCCCACACCCTTCTTCCATGCACACTTCAACTGGCCTCACGTTACAACCAGCTAAATATAAATACACATTTCTCAAAGTCCTTGAAAATCATGGGAACCAGTGCTGTAGAAAAGGAAACATAACACCAGTGGAATGCCCATAAATAGTTCTGTTATACAGTAGAGTGCAATACAAAAAAAATAACTAGATAATACTTAAAAACTGTTTGGCTGTATACTCAAAAGTTCAAAATAGAGATTTTAACTTGAAATATCAATTCAAACTTCACTATACCTCCTCATAAATTAAAAAAAATCACTCTCTAAAAAAATCCCTTTGTTTGCCTGGGCAAACTCCAAAGTAACCTTTTTCTGAGAAATATGTTGGGGAAAACAAATCTTTATCAACTGCTTTTAGAATGTATATAGATCTGTTTTATGTTGGAGACCGTTAGGATTCCTGGGAATCAAAGGGTTGTAGGGTTAAAACCTGGATTCAACTCAAAGACCATTCAAACAAACGCTGCTCCACCCCAACCCCACCCTTACAGTTCACTCGAATTCAGCAGATGAGCATGCGATCTGAGAATTTGGATTCTTTGCATTTAGTATTTAGTAACTTACCATTTAAAAATGAAACGATGAGGAGCAAAGCAAAAGGCGGCATTATGCAGGGCCTGTGTGTTTTCTGTGCGGAGGATGCTGCCATTCTGGTCCTGAGCGGACACACGTCCAACCGGTGTGAGTAAAAAGAGAGGGAAAGAAGACGAGAAGCTGGTTGAGCCAAGGGACTTTAGGGTTTCCTCTTACCCAGAGCAGGATGGTGTGGATAAAGCACCACTTGTGTTCTGTCAGTTTTTATATAGCCACCCCCCTTCCTGCTTCACTAAGGCCCAGCCCTACACCCCGTCTTCCACTTTAACCCTTCATCTGTGCCCCCACCCTTCTAGCAGGCAAAAGGAAGGCAGACATAGGAAAAGCGAGTAATGAGATCTTGTTGGGGTGTTGTGTGTTTTTTAAAAAGCCCTCTACATTCTTTAAATGCCTCTCGATGTTTAGATTATATGTGCATTAAAAAAGGGGTTCAGTGCTTGAGATATCCTTTATAGCAGTGCTGTATTGTGTGAAGTGTTTTGGTGATCACTGTTCATTATTTCATCCATTCTCTGACTGGGCAACAATGTCTGTTTGAACTGTGAACCCTGTCTGGACGGGAGCATTAATCCATTCACAATAAAAGGTGATAGCTCACAATAGGCTGTGACATTCAAGTCCTTAATAGGCTTAAAGAAATAGGCCGTGGAGCAGAATATCATACTCGAAACAAAGGTGCAATCCACTGTTATGTTAATAGCATTAATCCATTTCAGTGGCCTGCAGTCCTCACTACTCGGCAAGGCCATCAATCAATGCGAGTCTTGCCAGTAGTTGAGACACCACAGGATACGCTTAAACCTTTCACACTTCCACAAAGTCCTGAAAGCATCTAGCCCCCCTGCAACTTGAGGCTCTTTGCTTTACTTTTGTTTGCTTTCATGCTAGCGCTACTCATGCTCTGTGTGAATTGCACATCTGGAAACACTGGTGAAGGTATGCTAAATGAGTTGTTAAAAAAAGACCCACCCTAAGGCCAAGAGAAATGAGCAACAATAGTAAGTCGAGGAAATTCACATTCTCAAGGAACAGTCTTGTAACTTGATACCAGCAGTGCCCAAATCTCCCCTGTTCCTGTTTTAGCCCATCCTTCCCCCAGTCATTGAATTCCCTTCCTGTAACACCCCCACCCTCTGCAGACCTCTATCAAACATTGAGCTCAAACAGTGGGATGCTGAGGTGGGCAATTGGCTCCTTACTGTGAGCCCAAGATGAGCTTTTGCTGAAGAAAGAAAGCAGTGGTGTACTGATGGCCACAGCTGTAAGCCATCAGTCATGCCACCCCAGTAAAATATTAATTACACTGTTAGCTAGTTAAGTATTTCTTCTACTTGAGTCCTAATGAATCACAACTTGAGTAGTCAATGACAAGGAACAGATTTTACCGTTTCCCCTCCACAAATCACAACAGGAACAAAATAGTTTTTCTTGCCCATTGTATATGTTTTCTTCTGTAACATTTTATCCAATAAAGTTGACTTATTTCCAGTCATTTAAAGTCCTACATTTTATACTTTGTCTGTCATAGGGAGTTTATTCCCAGTTCAAAATAATCCTTGCATTTTACGCAGGGCTTGGTGCAGCCCCTCAGTTTATCAGCAGTTTAATAAAACCTGTTTTAGCGTCTCGCTGTTAATGCTCTTCTCTAACGTTCTTCAGTTTGAGAAGCTGCACCTTTCAAACAGAAGGTTTAAACAGATGATTGTTGGGGTTGCTGTTCTCTCTGACATTGTAGTAATCTAATAGTAGAAAAAAACATTGACATGTAGCATTTAGAGCTCTATACACGAAGCTTTTGGCTCACAAGGATTACTTGTTGATCTAATTGCTAGAATCTTTGGATAAAACAAAGCCTATAGGAAATGTCCATTGTGAATTTTTAATATATAGTTTCTCTGAACCCTGTGTGCGTGCGTGTGTGTGTGTGTGTATCTCAGTTGTAAGCGCATTTTCAGATGTCATATTCAAGTTTTTGCTTTTTAGTTCTATAAATCATGTGCATACGCCTCGGAGCATGTGTGCTAAATGCTCTCTGAAATGTATGATGCACTGTCTCATGGGCAGAAATACTTTGCTTGTAGTTTCTCACAGTGAATCCCCTGTAGATTTACCCTGTACTTTAAAGACCACAAAAATCTCAAGCTGTTGCAAACCATTTTGTTTAACAATGTGTTGTTTTTTTCATTTGCATGCATTCTTTTCATTTCTTTTTTTTCTCATTTTATTCAGTCAACACACACTTGCTTTCACATATACCTCACCTCCTTTTGCAATCAAACACAGTAAAAGAAAGCATGTTTGTCTTTTAGGCATATGTTAGACTAGATCATTGTTGGTAGTTAATTTCTCTTTTGTTAATGGTGTTTCTAAGGTTAAAATTAGCCAAAGTGTGCTGAGGAAGGTACATTTACCAGAATTTCACTTCTTTAAGGTGTTTCAGAAGCGTCATTGGGTTTTATCCATGGAAACTTGCTTGGTTGTTAATTGGATGGCTCTGATCACTGAGGCTAGTCTGGTGAATCAGATGAGTACTTTAAGCGGCAGATCCTCTTTACTTACTAGAGATCATATTAGAAGGATATTACCTGGATTATATTCTCAGAAGACATGTGCTTCTGAGATTATAAGAAAGCCTCTTTTAGCCTCTTTAAAAAGACAGAAGCTTTCTTTATGGTTTTGTTTAAAATGTGAATCTCAGTGGTTGACTACTAGGAATGTTTATTTTATTTTGTCTGGGAGCACAAGAACTCAGGGTGTCCACACGCAGTGGCTTATTTGTGTGAGCTCAGGCAGAGTTCTGAGCAGGAAGCTGTAAAATGACAACTCACCTAATGTTTTGGGAAAAACATTTTTTCCACCCATACATAATTACCAGCTCAATTTAGGAGATTAGTAGTTCTGTTCTGACTTTAGTCACGAAAACAGCTGAAAAGCAATTAACACACTTTGTAAAATGAATTAAAGGATTTATTGTAAAACAAAACAAAATAGTGTGTTCTTAATTTAATTTAAATTTATTTATTTGTAAAAACATGCAGTAACACACAGCCACAAAAACACATACTATGTAATGCAGATTTTATGGCACTTTGAAAATGTGAGCTATAAAACCAATAAAGCTCACAGATTGGCTACCTCAGAGGGAGTCTGTCTTGAAGTGATTTCATGAGTGCAGGAGAGAGGGAAGCTGAGAAGGAGGGAAAACTTTGGGAGGAGCAGAAGTGGGTGGAGATTTTGTTTCAAACTCCAGCAAATTTGGACCGTTACCTCTCTAGGCTGAGCAACGAGAGCCGCGCGGACAAATAACAAAAACAGTGTCACTCTTCCCAAAATGAAATATGCTTTCATTCGGGGCATTTCAGGGATGCATCCATGTGGCTGGGCTCAGTATTTCAGAAACTGCTCATCTGCTAGGATTTTCCCCTCTCTAAACTCTAGAGTTTAAAGAGAATGGTTTGAAAAAGAGAAAATATCCAGTAAGTGGCAGTTCTCCGGGCAAAAATGCTTTGTTGATGTTAGATGAGAATGGCCAGGCTGCTTCAAAGTGATAGACGGGCAACAGAAACTTAAATAGCCACTTGTTCCAACTGAGGTATGCACCTCAGTTGGATCCTTGAAAGAGATGCAACAGTGGAATACCACACTGGCTGTCACTCCAGCTAAGACCTGGAAACTGAGGCTAAAGTGTGCAGGGTCTAGTCTGGAGTTTTCAAATATAATGCAAGTTGTTTAATTTTTTTTTTGTTAACTGTCAATAAAAAAAGTTACATCCTTACATTCTATAAAATTAGCTGAAATGTATTGTCACATAATTACTAGTTAACAATAACAGAAATTGTAACCTATCCTATCCTGATGTGAACACACATTCAGTCTTTTTTTTGTTAACATGTATGAATACAAAGCCAACAAAAAACAAAGTTAAAAACCAGAGAGACCCTTAAAGTGATGGAAATGTGGAAAGTGTGGAACCACTTAGAAATGGAGTCTGCGAGCCTAACTGCTCATCATAGCTGTTAAAGAGACGCTGGGGTCAGCATTCACTCAGCTTTAACATCACCATCACCCAGAGTTCTTAGCTAACTTTGTGTCAGCATGGAGTCTGTGCAGCTGTTTACAAAAGAGCTGAAGTTGTGTTTGAAGTATGATGCAGTTTTTTTCTGTCCTGCAGAAAATTCTATTGTCACTTGGTTCATTGAAAATAAAAGTAATGTTCATGTCTCTCTGTTCAAATACTCCTGAGTTTTTTTTTTAAATTTCTTTTGAAAAATTTAAAGCTATAAATCACTCCACCATTTTCCTCTTCCTGCGCACAAACTGAAATCAGCTAACTGAAGTGCAAGTACGCAGGAAGAAACGAGGATGCTTTTTCCCCCCATTTCTAACCATCTGATGTGCAGCTGGTTGAAGAATCTTTGTTACACAAGTAAAGACAGAGCTGTAACCTTGATTGCTGAAATTTAGTCCAGTCAAGATGTTTCTCTAAAATATGTAATGTGATTATAGGAACACGTTACTTTGGAGCGTGCTACACCGAACGCTGAAGGTGGCTGAATCATGTGCTTGTTGTAACATATCTGCTGAAATGTATGCTCATCTCTACTATATTTCTGTGGTATTTGCTTTTTTTATACTTTATATTTTTCTGTTAAAGACTGCTGCAGCCGCTGTTGATGTGGCTGCTCAGTGGAAGTGTGTGGGCAAGTAACATTACCAGCACATAGCCAAAGCCACTGTCAGCATAAATACTGTACACTCTCAGTATGTTTTAGCTACTCTAGGGTGTACATAAACCAGAGTTTCCAAATGTTGTATATCATCTACTAACCCAGAAAATGAAATAAAGCCTCCCGTTAACCTGTCATTAGAGCGCTGCAGTGATGAGAGGCGGTAAGACACTGTTAATTATATTGCATGGATCTGTGTTTTCTTTTATGCCTTGGGACAGCAAACAATATGCGCAGCATTTGGAAAACATTTAAACTAAAACTTGGACCCGTTGAGAGGCCAATTGGCATGCGCTTCATAAGGGCTACAGCGATGTGTTGGAAATCTTACTTCTCACATACGCAGAAGAGAAAGTCTCTCACTTTTAACTAGGTTAGAAGTATAACGTCTACAGATTAACCATAGGGTCTCTGATTGACCAGTCAAAATAGCTTCACACAGAAAAACAGTTCATCACAAAAATA